TGTGTGTGTGTGTGTGTGTGTGTGTGTGTGTGTGTGTGTGTGTGTGTGTGTGTCAGCTTAACACAGTTCCAGATACCTTAGAGCGGGGGTCTGCAACCTTGGCAGCTTTAAGACTTATGGACTTCAACTCCCAGAGTCCCTCAGCCAGCAAAGCTCTGGGAGTTGAAGTCCATAAGTTGCCAAGGTTGCAGACCCCTGCTTAGAGCAGGCCGTTGTTTTAACTAGAGACCCTAGGGAATTTGAACACGTGGTCTGCACAGAACTGTATCCACTAAGACCCCCTTAGGCCAGGGTTTCTCCACTTTAAGATGCAAGGACTTCCAACTCTCATGCTTCTCCAGCCAGGGGAACTCTGGGAGTTGGGAAGTCCATGTCTCTTCACGTTGCTCTTGTTGGGAAATCTTGCCTCCCAGCCAAATACCGTATTTTTCAGAGTATAAGACGCAGCAAGGTTTGAAGAGGCAAATTTTTTAAAAAAGTTTTTGCACTCTGCAGTCCTCCCAAAAATGGCCCGTTTTTCATGAAAACGGGCCCGTTTCTTTTTAAGGCATGAATAGCATTTAGGCGGCTTGTAGAGTGCTCCAGAAGGGAGCAAAAATGAGCAAAAAATGGCCTATTTTTGTGAAAACGGGCCCGTTTTTTGTCAAACAAATTGCATGCATAGCCTTTAGGAAGCTTATAGAGTGCTCTTGAGGGCTGGGGAGGGGGGACAAAATTGAGCAAAAAAAGGCCCGTTTTTCGCTCATTTTTGCCCTCCCCAGCCCCCAGGAGCACTCTGCAAGGATCCTAGAGGCTATGAATGGCCTTTTGGTGAAGGGGGTAGAGTTTCGGGAGGTCAAAAATGCTGAATTCAGTGTGTAAGACGCACCCAGATTTTCAGCCTCTTTTCTGAGAGAAAAACGTGCATCTTATACTCCGAAAAATACGGGGTATTTCTATCACAGCAATATTCCCTTGGGAGTAATCCTTCATGTGGATGGGATTACTGAGTCGCTTTCTTTTTCACTGCTGTTTTTTTCTTCTTCCTCCTCATCTCCATTTTTTCCCTCTCAACTTTCTTGTCTTCTTTTTGCATCTTGATTCCCCAGGAAGTGAGCTAGATCAGACTGCTCTTGACTGTATCTATCAACTGAGTGTTTCTGGAATGCCATGTTCGATTGGTAACTTTTTGCAGAGGGCTTCCTCCTCTTCATTTTTTGCTTGTAACCTGTCAAATATGTTTTCTTTTATGTACCAATGCACCAATGACAAATTCCTTGTGTGTCCAATCACACTTGGCCAATAAAGAATTCTATTCTATTCTATTTCTATTCTACCCTTGATCATCGAAGCTGACTTGAAGAGAGCTCTCTGCTAGCATCTTCAAACATCTACACCCACCTCAGGGACAGGAACTTCTAGCTGGGTTCCTGATGGAGCCCGGATGGCCAGCAGAGTGTCGCCTGTAACGAGAAACCAAAAGGCTGCATTCAGGAAACAGAGCCAAGCGGAGAACAACACGAGATTGTGCATTGCTCAGTTCTTCCACGCCAGCTGGGCACAATATTTTCAGTCCCTGATTGCCAGGAAGTTTCTTCCCATCTCCCACACTCCCAATTCTACCCAGAATGCAAATCAAAAGTACGTTGATCCAGGGAAGGACCAGCTTCTTATGAAGATGTGGCAAGGGTGGGATTACATTAGGCAGAGGTTTTAGGGATGAAGTGACGCGCCATTCTTACCTGGGAAGCACTTGCAAAGATCCTCATCTGTCACATACGCTAATGTTCCTGAAGTTAAGGGAAAAACCAGCTGCCTCTGAAACTCTGCAAGATTATCCCCCCCTCCCCACCCAGTATTTTTTCTTCTTTTTACGGCCCAGTAAATCCCCTTTGTCGGGATGGAGTCAGGACGACTGAACGGAACTGAGCATTTACTGGCCAGATGCCCTTCCAGTGGCCTATGCAGAGTTCACAGCAGATATTTACTCTCTGTGCCTTGATAAAACATCGGTCGCTGCCTAGGATTGAACTCACAACCTGGACTGTTGAAAAATGGCAGTAGTTCTCTGCCATTCTAAGATAGACACACACAAACAAACATGTAGCATGCACCCCAAAGTCTCAATCCTACGAAAAAGGATACTAATTTGAAACACAGAGTGTTATTATTTCACATTATTAGGACAGCGGAATAAAAGAGCCTTTTCTAATTTGACGTTAGCTGTTTTTCTGTTATCCTGTGCAAATTAGGTTACCTGCCTAGAAACATTTCTATTAGAAATAGCTTGCATAAAAAAAATTGTCCTATACAAATTGGCATTATATATATATATATATATATAATGCCAATTTATACATATATACATACATCAGGGACGTGCAGGCAGGGTAGGCAGGGTCTCACCACTGTCATCATGAAAAGAAAATTTAAAAAGAAAAAGGCTGAGCTAGTTGCTGCCAGTCACAGTGGATGACTCTGCTTAGTGCTTAACTGCAGGAGGCGAGAGAACCACATGCCTCCTTAGACTAATCTTTATGATCACTTGAGCAGAGTTAAGCAAGGGTTAAAAGGCGAAAAATTCCTTATGCAAAGGAGGCACGGGGTTCTCTCGCCTCCTCCTGCAGAGGGCACTTTTTTTAGAGGCTTCTTTTAAACAGTTAAGCAGAGTCATCCATTGGGGTGACCCACCCTGATCAGCAGCTCTTGCCTTTTTCTTTTTACATTTTCATCATGGCAGACAAGAGGAGAGTTGAAATCCTTTGTGACACAGCTGGAAAAGGTAGGTGGGTCAGAGGGAGGGATTCAAAATTATTGTAATTTATAAGTAATTGTAATTTGTATTATTGTAATTAATTTGTGTTTGTGTGTGTTTTATCCGCCTCTGCTGGCGCGCAGGCTAGCACTTTATTTTTATTTTTTAAAGCCATGCTGCCGCGCCCTGCCATAGAGTGGGATAGGTCCTGCTGTATGGCCGGCGCAGCGGCATGGCTTTAAAGACAGCGGCGTGTGTGCGCCCTCACGATTCAGTGCAGCCACTCCATCCCATTAAACTGCCTCACGGTTAAAAAAAAAAGGAAACTCGGCCCGACTTGGGTTTAATGAAGGCGGCACTCTGCACACCCCTAGAGGACCACCCCGCTTTTGCAACCAAGGAGGCACACTGGAGCGGCAAGCGGGTTCGTCGTCACGTGACAGCTTTCTCTTTCGCCGCCCGCCGGTCCCTTTAAACCCTCTTTTCGCTGCGCAAGTTGGGAGGAGACGGACAGAGGGAGGCTGGAAGGTGGCGGGGGCGCCCCTTGTGCCGCTGCTTCTCAGAGCGCTGTGCGCGGCTTGCTTGCTCGAGTCTCTCCGGCCGTCCTTCTGCCCTGACTCAGAGGCCGCTGAGGGAGGAGGACCAAGCTGGGAGCCCCCCACTCCACCATCCATGCCTCTCCAAACCGGGTAAGAAGCGCTGCACCCCGCTCCTCTCTGGCCCCTCGCTTTCTCTTTAACCCCCTCAAACGGCCTTCGGGTCTGGCTCTGCTTTCCCCGCTTTTGCAAAGGGGGAAGTGTGTGGCCGGGGGCGCGCGTATATGAGCAGACTGCCTAGCTGCGGGTTTCCCCTTCTTTCTCCCCCCCCCCCGCCGAAGCCACCCCCAAAGCCCCGTGTCCCACTCTATGGCGGAAAGCCACACCGGCACTTTAAAGCTATATATAATGGCTCCGTGTGTGTATATGTTTTAGCATAACTCTGGAATGCCTTGAGCAATTTCAACCAAACTTGGTACATAGATGACCTACTCTCTGGAAAAAAATATTATGGAGGTAAGAGACCCTCATAACCCCTTGGGAGTATGTGTTCTGTTAAGATATAGCCTGTTGTGCCTTAAAATGGCTTCTACTGTACAATGCAGTGGAGTGGCCATGGTAACGGCTTCACCAGTACTCCCTCTGGTAAGGGGGAAAATCCAACATTAGAAATTACGTTTGGTCCGGACATTTTCCTCTTATAAATAAATATCCGGGCAACGCCGGGTTATCAGCTAGTCAATGATATAAAGATGAGAGATGCTCTCACTCTGAGACCGCAAACTCCAGAATTCCCAGACAACATGACTGAATTCTGGGCACTGCCGTCTCAAATATCCAGGAGGAAGAACCATAAAGTTAGGCCAGAGCAGAATCATCAGAAAGGACCTGCGTTTTAGCTTCAAAGAAACCCAAAACCAGGAAGAATCAAGAGTAGACTCCAAGGATATTCTTTGTTCTGTACATCGTCGGTGACATTTCTGATACTTTGCTGCACCCACATCTTTTGTTGTTCCAGTTCTCGTTCCCGATGCTCCAGATCCTCAATCTCTGCTTTCAACTCAATCAACTTGTGGGCAATTTCTCGGGTATTACAGCCAGGCCCCACGCCTCTGCCAAGAAAACAAGAGAAATCAAGGGATCGGCCTTTTCCACAGCGTATTAAGAATCCGATATCAGAGACAAATGGCCATTTTAATCACACACATTGCCCGCAGAAGGAAACTTTTACAGGTTTTCTTTGTTTTAGTTCTATCTTTTCAGAGAGAATTAAGTGACACATTTAATGCACCCAAGAGAGAACTCAAAGGCCCTTTTCAGAGTTCTTCTTCTGCCTCATATTTTCCCCGAGTGGGTGGGAAAATCCGGTAGTAAAAGTCTCAAAAGTTCTCATCCCTATGGGAGAGAGGGTGGGAGGGAAGGTGAGAAGGAAGGGAGGGAGTGGATCGGGAGAGGTAGAGGGGGAGGGGAAGTAGGGTAGAGGAGGATGATGGAGGGAAGATAGAAAGTTGGAGGGGGTGGAAGAAAGAGGTGTATGGAGAGTGGAAGAGGTATATTGGGTTTGTATTTTTTTGGGGGGGGGTATTGTTGACAAGAGGAATTGCTGCGATTCTTGTTTAATGTCGTAATTCACTTTTATTATTCTTTACTTTTAGTATCAGGGAGACGATGGGAAGCAGGA